GCTTACAAACTCCTTTCCCTTCCCCTCCCCACAACAGACACCCTGTGAGGTGGGTGGGGCTGAGAGAACTCTGACACAAACTGCTCTTTTTCAAGGACAGCTGTGCCAGAGCTTGTGACTGACCCAAGGTCACATCAGCAGGTGCAAGTGGAGGAGTGGGGAATCAAACCCGGTTCTCCCAGATTAGAGTCTGCGCACTTAACCACTACACCAAACTGGCTCTGAAGGGTGGGGTATGAATCCAATCTCCTCCTCCTCTTCCTTTTTGCTGTCCAAACTGCCCTGTTGCTGAAGGGGCCCTGGCCACACCCTCCTGCCTCTGGTCCCACCCTGGTCCACCCAGGTGAGCTTGGCCCCCTGGAATAAAATAGGACTTCTGAGTAAACCTCCTTACAAGCACTCTCTCAGTGTCTTACCCATTGTGGTAAACTAATATGTTTGCAAAAATGTATGCACACTCTCTGTTTCGGGATATGACGGCTCATATAAGAAGGAAAGTATTTTTTTTTATCTATTTGACTTAATTTGTACCTCATTTTTCACCCTACTGGGGACCCAAAGCGGCTTTACATCATTCCTCTCTCTTCCGTTTGACCTCACAACATCCCTGAGAGCTGAGTTAGGCTGAGAGTGTGTGATTGGCCCAAGGTCACGTAGCGCGCGTCCGTGGCCAAGCAGAACTCGAACCCGGGTCTCCCAGATCCTAGTTCAGCACTCTTAACGGCTATATCACACTGGTTTTCGAAAGTAGCAAACCCCTTGAACAAGAGGAGAAAGTTTTCTCACCGGCAGGAACCTTCTCTCTCTCTTTCCTTGCTCCCTTCCCCTTCTCCTGTTCAGAGCCGTGTTTGAACTGGAGCTTCGGGCAGTTAAGTTGCGGGGGTACAGGGATGGGCTGCTGAACGGCTGCAGGGCGCTGGAGGAGGCGGTGAGGACCCGTTACCAAGAGCTGCAGGGCTTACAAGCCAAGCGTCAGCGCATCCTGGACTTCCGCCACCTGGTGGTAAGAGCTCGGAAAGGCGCGGGATTCACGGCCCGCAAGAAGTGGTGGTGGCTACACGCACCGACAGCTTCAAGGGGGGATTGGATAAACATCTGGAGCAGAGGTGCATCAGTGGCTATTAGCCACTGGGTATAGATGGAACACTGTTTGGGGCAGTGATGCTCTGTATCCTTGGGTTTGTGGCAGTGATGCTCTGTATCCTTGGGTGCTTCTAGTGTCCTGGCCCCACTGCTGGACCTCCTGATGGCACCTGTTGTTTTTTTTTTTAAAAAGGGTCTTGGCCAGACAGGCAGACTGTAAATGAAGCAAATACACTGCCTCACCTTCCTAACAGATTTGAACTCGGGGCTCCTCAGTTGCAGCCTAGCTAAGCACACCACCACACTGGCTCTCCGTTGCTCAGAACGCGCCAACGTACTATCACAATCAAAAAGTGAAGAGCAGCCGTCGTATTAAAACCAGCTGAACGAGGAGAGGGAATCGATGGCTCAAAACACGGGGGGGATTCTTTAGTCTGTGCCCCATGCTTGAAGGATGGCTGCCAGAGTCCCACAGCCATCTGTCTCAACCACGTTCCTTCAGAAGGGTCACGTTTATCGAGTACAGTCAAGGCAGGTCACCTGTGCATACGTTCAGTGTTAGATCTAACTCCGCAGGCGGGAAAGGGGAAAGATATACAGGAGTCAAAGTGGGGTCCCCTGAGGGACTCGGGCCAATCAGAGGGTGAACTGCAGCACGCCTAAACTAACGGGCTCATATTCCCAGCAAAGCCAGAGAAGCAAGGTCATGAGCTCAGCAAAGAGATAAGACACAGCAAAAGAGGTGGAAGTTAACATTGCAGTCCTTGAAGATGTGCACCCAGCGGCCTCCTACCTCCCCCCCCCCACTTACAATGGCAGCGTAGCTGACATACTGCCCCTCCGAAGACACACACACACACACCCCCCCCCGGCACACTCCCCCCCCCGGTTTGTCTGGATACATTCTATGAAAAGCACGTAACAATTTAGGAGCACTGATAGGACAATAGCGATGTGGGCGCCAAGCAAGTGTCCCTGGGGAGGGCATTCCATTCCGAAAAAAGAAGAAACTGTGAGGTAACTGCGCTAAAATATATTTAAATAACAATCACGAAATTTATACAAAAATGTGTACAAAAAATCTACATATATAAATGCACAAGGAAATTGAAAATGATGTGACGATGGTCTCCGGAATGTTCTATCGTTTCGATACTCTTCTTCTTCCAAAAGTGGATGAAAGCATACAGCGACTCTTGGTCTGTCATTACCTCACAATTACCTCAGAATATATTTACCTCAGAATATATTTAAATAACAATCACGAAATTTATACAAAAATGTGTACAAAAAATCTACATATATAAAGGCACAAGGAAATTGAAAATGATGTGACGATGGTCTCCGGAATGTTCTATCGTTTCGATACTCTTCTTCTTCCAAAAGTGGATGAAAGCATACAGCGACTCTTGGTCTGTCATTACCTCACAATTTCTTCTTTTTTCCGTCTTTTTCCTTCTTTTTTCGGTCTGGTCTGTGACTGTGACCATCATTTTTGAGGGCATTCCATTGACAGGGTGCCACAACAGAATAGGCCCTGTCTGCATTAGTCACCTATTTTTTCTTAAGAGCAAGGTCTTGGAAATAGATCAAAAAGAACAAGCGGGTCACAAGCCAAACCCCCAGGGTTTACTGGCTTTCAGATCCCCTATCCCCCCGGCTCGCACATACCTCAGTTGTAGCTCTGGGCGCAGCCGAAAGGTCCCCACAGTGTTGCTTTTGGGTTTCATGGCAGTGATTCTCGCTAGGGAACCAGGAAAACAGCTGTTCACAAGGCCAGGTCGAACCTTCCTTTCGGCGGTGTCGGCGGAGAGCAGTGGGGACGTGTACAAATTCCTCTTTGGTGTTTGCGGAAAGCTCTCTCCTGGCCTTTGAGAGATGTGTATCTGCGTGGTGGCGGAGCGAGGTTAGAGGTGCGTCCGTGTCCTGGATCCCACTTCCTTCCTTCTGTTCCCACAGAACGAGAAGCAGCAGCACATCCGGACACTCATCAAAGGCACCTCGTACATTAAATCCCAGCTGCGGAAGGAGCAGTCTGAGGTGAGAAATGCCGGCCGGTGCCCTCTTATCAGGCAAGCTTTTGGCAGAGCTCCGTCTCCGGCCGCTACCTTGCAAGATTTGCGTCCAGTGGGACCTTGCAGACCAGCAAGATTCTTGGAGGGCGAGCTTTCGAGAGTCAGTTTTCCCTTTATTGGGTTAAATGGGGGGGGGAATATCACGTGCCCTGGAAGCACAGAAGCTTTTTCGCAGTATCCCCGATCCTCCACGTCTCCCAGTTAAGGGGGAAAGGCTGTTCAAACAAATTGCAAAGACAATCCGACTCCAGTGGTAACGAGAGAGAGAAATTTTACTTACAAAAATAGAAGCACGTCTTCCACGACCTGTTTCGTGCAGGGCCGTTTAACTTGACTGTGAATAGTTTCAAAAAAGGCTAACTTGCTACAGCTCCAAGCAATGCTCCCTCTAAGCTATGGAGTCTTGTGAGCAAAAATTCTACTTTGTGAGATACTGGCATTAAAGTTGTGAGCGAGCAGTTTGGCTGCTGCATAAATTAGTTTGCTCTGGAGCAGAGTTCCCTCCAAGCTGAGTTAGTGTGAGCTAGCTCACCGGTTTTTAGCCTCTGGCTCACACATTCTTGTCTTAGCCCAGGAAGGAGGGCTCCAGAGCAAACTAACTTATGCAGGTAGCCAAATCGCTTGCTCACAACTTTAATGCCAGTAGCTCACAAAATAGAATTTTTGCTCACAAGACTCCACAGCTTAGAGGGAACATTGCTCTGGAGCCATCCTTCCTGAGTTGAGACCAAAATCTGTGAGCTGGAGGCTAAAAAACCTTGAGCTAGCTCACACTAACTCAGCTTAGAGGGAACACTGGCTCCAAGCCCAGGTAAGAGTGAGAAGAAGAGAGCACGGGCCAAAGAGGTGGACCATCTAGCCCAGTGATGGCTAACCTTTTAGAGACCGAGTGCCCAAACTGCGACCCAAAACCCACTTATTTATCGCAAAGTGCCAACACGGCAATTTAACTTGAATACTGAGGTTTTACTTTAGAAAAAACCACTCATACATTAACTTAAGATGATCCAAACAAAGTAAAGAAAACAAACCCAAATGTTTTCATTTCCTTAAAATTATTTGGCAGAGAATCCGACACTTTAATGATGGTCTGGGCCTGGCTGGGGCGATGGCACGCGTGCCCACAGAGAGGGCTCTGAGTGCCACCTCTGGCACCCGTGCCATAGGTTCGCCACCTCTGATCTAGCCGATGAAAGGGTGGGGCCGACTGCCAAGCGTGCCTGAGTTAGAGAGGATTCTCTTAACCCTTTCCCTCCCAGACCCTCTTGCAGGCAGAGTGACACTCTCCAGCACCCTCCACCAGACACAAAGGGCCCTTTGACTCTTGAAAGCTTCTTCCCTGAGAATCTCGTTGGTTTCTAAGGTGCTGTTGGACTCAAACCCAGCCTTTCTGCTGCAGACCAGCATGGCTGCCCTCTGAAACGACCTTGACAGCAGGCAGAGAAACACAACTAAGGGGCATCAGTAGGTCTGAGCGACTATGCCCGTGTGGTTCATGGAAAGTCAAAACAATTGAACATATTTTACTCCACTGTACGTTTTATGAAACCATCAGAGTAAAAATTATTCATCCCGTTATAAGGAGGTACCATGTATAACCTCTATAATATTTATTCAACAGTTGAATAACAGTTGATAGAGTATTGTAGAAATTTAGAGTTTTAGTAATTTTGTAATTAACATATGCAGATCAAACGCAGTTTTATATTTAAATATTTTATATATATTATTGGTACCCTTTTGTATTGTTTGTAATTGGGCTGGTGATATACCGAATAAACTGACTACTAGTTGGCACCGATAGGTAAAAGAGGCTCTGTTGAGGTCTCTCTGTGTCAGATTCCTTTTCATAGAAGCAGGGCCAGATCCTGCCTAAGGGATGGAAGAATTTTTTTTTGCCGATGGATTCCAAAGCAATTTTAAGCACATTTGCAAATGCTTTGTTTAAGAACATAAGAGGAGCCGTGCTGGATGAGACCAATAGTCAGCCAGAACTCCGTTCCTGTGCGTTCCTGCCCAAAAATAGCCCTGGTATAAGGCATAAGAACATGAGCAGCCGTGCTGGATCACACCAGCGGTCCATCTAGTCCAGCATCCTGCCACACACAGTGGCCAACCAGTTCCTCTGGAGGGCCAAGAACAGGGCATAGAGGCTAAGGCCTTCCCCTGATGTGGCCTCCTGGCTCTGGGATTCAGAGGTTTAGTGCCTCTGAATGTGGAGGTTCATTAGGCAAAGCTTCTCCTAGTAGAACAAGGATATGAGACGAGCCCTGCTGGATCAGACCATTGGTCCATCTAATCCAGCCTCCTGTCTCGCACAGGAGCCAACCAGTTCCTCTGGAGGCCCAACAACAGGGCAGAGAGGCTGAAGCCTGCCTCTGAACGTGGAGGTTCCCCTCAGTCACCATGGCTAGTAGCCATTGATGGACACCCTCCATGGAGCTATCTAATCCCCTTTTATTTCTGAATACTCTCTTTCTTTAAGCACTTGTAATGTTTCAGCAAGTTCTGCGTTGCCTCAACAGCTGAGGAAAGGGGACAGTTTAGCACAGCAGTTGAGGCAGGGAACGATAGCAGGGATGGCAAGGAAGGGGCCGCGGGTCCTGGAGTCCCGGCTGTAATGAATTCCCAATCAGTGCCGTGCAGCCTTGAGGACTAGAAGCGCGTCCACCCTTCTTTAAAATCAATATTTCATGTTCTACTTTCGGCCCTTGAGAACAGGTTCTGGGCTTAGCCGCGGTGGACGTGGCCGCAGATATAGTTTTGATCCCCCGCCTCTCTCTGCCTCTCAATCAGGTCCGGGACTTCATTGAGAAGAAGCTGCTGACTCAAGAGCAGTGGGTGGAGCAGGAGGCACAGCGGCTGCAGAACAGGATCGAGCGGGAGGTCCAGCAGTTCCAGGGGGTTGCCCTGCCTTGCTTGGTGTGCCGGGACCTTCCCGGGTGAGTCTTTCTCCTGGCCGCTCCCTCGGGGGGAGCAGTGCTGAGGAGGACGGCCCCTACGCATTTGATAGCAAGCACAGAATTCGGCTGTCTGAGAATCTCCCGTGAAGCGGGTTTCCTAGTCCACGCAGTTAAGGAGGCAAGCAATTACCTGTTTGTGAATTTCCAGAACACAGAGAGGCAGCTGAATAAGATGCGCAGCGGCCATAACAGTGGGCAAGGTCATGCGTATGTGGCACCCGTACCAATGTCTGTTCTTTGTACCTACTTCCCCCCCCCCACTAAATATTTGCTGTCAGGGGTCATTTCGTAGAAAAAGAGGTGCAGGAGCTCATTAGCATAACTCATTTGCATAGGCCACACCCCCTGACATCACCGGAAGTGTGTCAGAAGGCAACACCCACCGCTCAGGCTCCACTGGACTGTTTTGGATTTCTAGCTATTGGGGGGGGG